ATAGTATTACTCTATTACAGTGGATATGTGAATCTTTCATGAAGAATGGTGTGAGGAAAACATCGATACAAAGGAGTAATTTACTTGAGCAGTTATTTGTCGGAAATATTTTTGTCCCACATCTTTCATTGTCTCAACTGATGACCATAGTTTCAGCTATCAGCTTCCTCAATAACCGGACGATGTTGAGTCCATTTAGGTGAAAAGACAATGCGTCTTTAGAAATTGATCAGTTTTAATGTACTCACTGACACGAGTAGCTTGTTAAGACTACACCAGTGCATTATACGTTCGCACAGACATGCTGGTATACTCCCAAGGGAGTTGAGAAAGCAAAGTGATGCATCCGTTTGAAATGAAATAATATGCGCTGTGAAAATACTACTTCGTGATTAACGACCAAAGTGTAGTCATGATGATTATTATTTTGAGTATACTGATACACTATGAAAACGCTGAGCGGAACTTGTTAAAAACTTTTCAACGAACTGACAGTAAACAAAGACACAGTTGTGTATGATAGTGAGGCCTACTACTACTACTACTACTACTACTACTACTACTACTACTACTACTACTACTTCATGTAAATGCAAGCAACAATGACGGGCTCCAAGTGATACTTCTAGTTATTGTATTATCCAGCTTGACTTATTTTTGTATCGTCTATCATTTGGATGGTCAATCATTCGAATACACAGGAAACAAGTACTGAGCTTAAAATGGCATGGCTTTAGCTCAGCTAGCATTCAAACATGAATACGCACGCACAAAGGCATTCACTCAGGCACAAACACACATGCACACGTCACAAACGTACGCACGCAACCTCACGCAAACCTTCAATATCTTCTGCGTAGAATCTTGCAAGATATGTTTTAAAGTGATATTTATCTGCAAAAAAATCGATCATTAGTTAAATCTAATACGACCGCAGCAATAATGATATCAGCAAGAAAGATATCAGCTAAAAGAATATCAGAAAACGGCAAACACAGTTTCATGCATTTTGCATGGATCCAATACTTGAAAGTTTGGACGAATTTCATCTAGTAGGTACAGTCTGCACTCTGAAGATTTGAAATCCTATATGGGTCGCCGAACCACATGACTGTTGACCAAAGTCAAGAACATAAAATGTCAGCACCTAAAGCAGTAGACACGTGTGAAGTGGAACAGTAATTAGACCAGCAGTTGCGGATCAATATGTCTTTCACAATTAATTGTTTTTGAATTTCATATAGTTTCCACGTCAATCCAAGGTAAAATATGGATCGCACTAGGGTGGGAAAAAAGCATAGATTTCCACATCCCGTCCACATTTATCCAAGTGACGTAAGTACCTTCATTCAGGTACTTGATATTAGAGAGTAGTGGATGATATTAGTGATGATTTTGTTGAATTCTTTGTGTAACATTTAAGAAGTTTGAAAGTTAGACCTTGTTATAGGAACAGGCATTTCAGCTCTTGGTCTTCTGTCGCTTTTAAAGATTTTTTCATGAAGAAATCCCGTTGATGAAAAGTACAAAAACGTCTGCTTGTTGTGCCTCGCCTCCATACCGAGTCTGTGTGGTGGCCTGTTGCGCTGTTAAGTTCGCAGCAGTGAGTCGCTATGATAATGAGTATTGGTAATTTAGAAGTATATTCGTGGTCTTTGGATTCACAAAAGTACCTTCGAGCTGCGCCTTTGAGCTTCTCCCCTCATTAAGCTGGCACATCGCAGTGTAACTGAAATAATGTGCAGAGCCCATTAAATCCAATATGTTTTTATTTCACTTACTCCAAGATGATAACATTTTTGTAGTGGATGTGACGAACCTTTGTTTGCATCGAACAACTAAACCTAAAGCTTTAAAACATAGCTCTGTGAAACATAGTATCCTGAAAAAACACTTTTGTAAAACATAACTCTGTGGAATATAGTACCTTGTAAAAACATTATTGTAAAACATAGCTCTATGGAATATAGTACCTTGTAAAAACATTATTGTAAAACATAGCTCTGTGGAATATAGTACCTTGTAAAAACATTATTGAAAAACATAGCCGTGTGGAATATAGTACCTTGTAAAAACATTATTGTAAAACATAGCTCTATGGAATATAGTACCTTGTGAAAACATTATTGTAAAACATAGCTCTATGGAATATAGTACCTTGTGAAAACATTATTGTAAAACATAGCTCTATGGAATACAGTACCCTGTAAAAACATTATTGTAAAACATAGCTCTGTGGAATATAGTACCTTGTGAAAACATTATTGTAAAACATAGCTCTATGGAATACAGTACCCTGTAAAAACATTATTGTAAAACATAGCTCTATGGAATATAGTACCATGTAAAAACATTATCGTAAAACATAGCTCTATGGAATATAGTACCTTGTGAAAACATTATTGTAAAACATAGCTCTATGGAATACAGTACCCTGTAAAAACATTATTGTAAAACATAGCTCTATGGAATATAGTACCATGTAAAAACATTATCGTAAAACATAGCTCTATGGAATATAGTACCTTGTGAAAACATTATTGTAAAACATAGCTCTATGGAATATAGTACCTTGTAAAAACATTATTGTAAAACATAGCTCTATGGAATACAGTACCCTGCAAAAACATTATTGTAAAACATAGCTCTATGGAATATAGTACCTTGTAAAAACATTATTGTAAAACATAGCTCTATGGAATATAGTACCTTGTAAAAACATTATTGTAAAACATAGCTCTGTGGAATATAGTACCTTGTAAAAACATTATTGTAAAACATAGCCGTGTGGAATATAGTACCTTGTAAAAACATTATTGTAAAACATAGCTCTATGGAATATAGTACCTTGTGAAAACATTATTGTAAAACATAGCTCTATGGAATATAGTACCTTGTGAAAACATTATTCTAAAACATAGCTCTATGGAATACAGTACCCTGTAAAAACATTATTGTAAAACATAGCCGTGTGGAATATAGTACCTTGTAAAAACATTATTGTAAAACATAGCTCTATGGAATATAGTACCCTGTAAAAAAATTATTGTAAAACATAGCTCTGTGGAATATAGTACCTTGTAAAAACATTATTGTAAAACATGTAGATATGTGCATTCTCAATGTTGTTATTTAGAAACAATGTAAGGTATAACCGGTGACTTGAATAACAACAAGGTCAATGCCTTATAAACTTCCCTACTGGTACATTTGTCTCTTTACAAAAAAACCGAGAGTCAAACACAAGTAAAAACCACTACTACACGCAATGTATCCCAGATAGACTCTAGGAGGGGATTGCCTAAAAGTCGGGCCGGGTCGGGCCGCTGGCAATTTTAGGCAATGCCCTCTAGGAGGGGGCCAAGTAACACAGGCTGTAGACATTCACCAGTTTAGTGAAAGATACACAGTCGACTAAAATCTCAGATTCGAAGCCAATACCAAATAGTCATGACAGTTGTCGGATGTCCTCTGTGCAGCACATTCATTCATTAAATAATCACCATGTTTATGTTGTCTTTATGCAGATTTTGTATAAAGCAACGAACGTAAAGAAGTGTTTTTTTCAATTTAGTAGACTGAAAAATGACGCAACAGAATTCAAAGTGCAGCATTTTGCAATCACTCTATAGGAAGCGGCAGTTGGTTTCGCCTACACTGTTGGGGTTGTGTTCAAACTGGCCCCGTGTTGATCATATGTAGTCAAAATCTCACACTGATGAAACAAATTTATTCAATGCGTCCATAATCTGCATCATGAAAATACATTACCGATTTCACAAATATAGCCTATTAACACTTAATGTGTCAGGTGTTTCGTTCGCGCATCTTAATTTAGAGGACGGTACTGTTTACATGAACCCTACTTTTTGTGTGTTCTGTAGCCACACTGGGGATCCCTGTACGAATGATTGCGTGGGCACGAATTGCAAAACTCAAATATTGTTGGAGCTGAAGTTATGGAATAATTACTAGATAGCATTGCCAGTTTTAGGTTAACACTAAAAATGGTATAACACTTTCGTTCTGATGTCTCTTGAACTACTTGCTTGTCATGTGAAGTACAATCTCACATAAATGTGAACATACCTATGTGCTATCCACTCGTACACAACACATAGTCCGGGTGTTCAGCGTGTACCAACCGTACCTGTATTATGTAAGCCTCGCCTGACGGCGTTTCCCTCGACAGTTTACAGGTACACTTTAGACGTAGTCCGGTACGTATCCAGTGGAACAAGGTCAGCGATAATAACAGTAATGATAGCTTTACAGGTCCTCACCATTCGCCGAGTCCTATAATGTCCATATTCTACCGTCTTATATCGACAGTAAGAGTTAGCAACGAACCTAATGACATTAAATGCTGTGTACCTTGACTGCATGTTCTGACTTGGGTTGTACACGTGACGGACATTTCAAAAGAATATGTGAAAATGATGTTGGCATTTTGTAGGTATGGCGTATGGCTGATCCCTGCAATCTTTGAAATATCTTTGAAACATGACCACTTTGAGATATACAATATCTCAAGATATGCAATGAGAGCAAGGTAAGAATAACAGTGTCATGAACAGGCGTTCCCTGTGTATGATAATACCGATAATTCTCGTTTGAAAGGTAATTCCTTTACTACATTAACAAACCAGTTCTATACAACTGACAAATGTGATTGGAATTATTGGCATCAACAAAACCATTACTACTAATTGTCGGCACTTGTTATGTCAGGGGTTAATACCATAGAGCGTTCCAACACCACGATCGATAGCACACTCACTGCTAATGCATCCGTAAATTCACCTGCAGTTTGTCACAGCCAAGGCTAATTAAGACACTTAAAGCCAAGCTTGCTCAATAGCAAAGCTTGTTGACAAAAGTAAAAGTGTTCCATCCCCTGTGTTTACGAAGTGGGCATATACTGTTAATGTATGGAAGCAGTTGTAGTTGGTGGACTCCATCGAACCAGTCCTCCTCAACACTCAGCGAGTGCGCAGGCGGGAGTGTGTCGATGCGGAGGTTTCAGTCGTGGTGGTATCAAGGTGAGAGGAGGAGGCAGTGTTATTGACCTGGCCACGCATCAGTATGGATCTGACTATTAAACATGTGAAGAACTTTACTAGAAAACAACGCAAAATTTGAGTTCATTTTAGAGGTAAGTAAATTTTTGGTTTAATTTCTATCACAAGTGGATTTTAAAACATATATTTCATATTTATGACAAGGTAGATTTATATCTTGCATATTGAAAAACTTTAATCATAGAGTTAAGATTCAATGTACTATAATCCTCTAACAGTTGACTCCACGTATATAAGTTCATAGATGTCTATATTTAAATTATTTGAATGAAGAAAAATCTATTCCGATACCAATATCACACAAATACCCATCCCCCAAATGGTATTAATTTATCAAATGCTACTGCAATTATAAACCCGCTTACATCGATGAATACGTATTTCAAATTGACGCATCAGACGTCTGAAAACGTTAAAATGTTTTGTTTTTTTACAGATTTGAATATTTCGTTGTTTTGAATGTATGTATAATACGAATATGTTAAAATGTAAAATAATGTTCCTGACAATATTTGATCCGCTGTATGTCGGTTCGTAACTTAAACGAAGGCTATTCTCTCAACAACAAAAAACAAATTATTTGAACTGATGATGTCTATAGAAAATCACCAAGGCTCGTAAATACAATGTTTATTCCAAGTACAGGATATTTACCATCCCCAAACACATATATGTGATAACCTCTTTTATGATTTAATGTCATTCTTCAATTCTGTGCTCGAAAATCATTTCCCATCTCTCACAAACATTACCTAAACATTGCAAGTTTTCCTTGCAAAACAACAATTGCCCACACAAATTGTTTCTCCTTGATTTTCGCGGCAATCTATTGGTCTGTCCGACAGAGTAACTGCCCTTTATCAAAGGGAAGCAACTCTAACCCTAGTCTAAGAGACGTTGTTCACAGTCAGTCTGTCCTGTCATAACGTTACGAAGTGCAGTCAGAACACACAGCGACAAAACGAAACAAGGTAACAATTCGGACATATTTCGGCCAAATCCAACTGTTTTAATTGTGGAAAAGGTTCCAAGCCGCAGAGGTCTCCAAGCAGAGATATGGTAACCTATCACGCTTGGCTAGTGCCCTATATCTCCAAAGTTGCCAAAACTTGAAAGATGCCTTAGCTACATAATAGTTAGACGCTGATTTTCTGTATAGTAGACTATTCTTTTGATAATGATAGCAATTATCCCAGTAGTTTATCCAGATTCTCGGTGGTTTAAACTGACTCGATCGCCGAATGACAAGGGCGACGCCATGTTTGTTTATAAAAACTGAAAGTAGCTCCTACTTGACCTTTGATATTTGCATCTCTATCCGCATATGGCCCAATCGTTTTTATCCGTTGGCTTTATCCTGCCGAGAAACTTACCCATTATATGATAAATGTTGATATGAATCAGCAAACTCTAGAACTGTCTAACACTCTCAAGGGACATATTTGAAATGAATACTCTCCGAAGCTTGACACTTGCGCAAGAATTTTTCTTTGCTGTTTTCCATTTCTTTAATAAATAGATAATAAACACTGAAGAACGACTTGAATTGACTTTGAGATCGACATGTCTACCTTGTACACAATGTAATTCACAAGCGTAAACATATCCGGAAATGATTCATTGTCAATCTCCAAGAGATTTAATGAATATTTCTTAATTCTTCACTCCCGTACGTACAGCCATATTCGATTTTACAGAAAGAATACATTGATACAAATAAACCCTTGCCTTTGAAGCATTCTGTTTTACCTGTTAAACTACAGAGACGGTCAACATTCTAGTTCTGCATCGAAGAACAAGGTACCATCTTAATGGTTGTTGAGACAGTTTAGATCACGTCTATCACAGGCATATGCGCAGTTCATTCAATTAAGCACTTTATCAGGTTCCATGGGACCATGTGTACACAGGCAGGTCTCAAGGATATTCAGATCAATTTTCGTTGTGATATTCTATTTCATGCCACAAATTGTCTTGTTTTTGTGGAAACAAATCGTTGCTCTATGCTGTCTAAACATACGCACAGGAAGTGAAAACCAAAGTTGTCTTATCCATGGAAAGATCAAGGATTACCTTGTGCCAAGTTCTTGACTAAATATCATGTATTGAATACGTAAGTGGAAGGTTCCCCTGTCATTGTTATGGAGGAACGTTAAAGAAAGGCTTTCGTTGCCTCCCTTGTGGTAGGAGAACATGCGTAAATTGTAGTGCGGTCTAATCACCGTCAATCTCTTTTCTAAAAGTGGACACTTGTAAGAACAAAGCGTGTGTGTAGGTTGAATCCACATTGCTGATTGGCTGTAATCAGTCCATCAATCTTCCAATCGATAATATTGATCCAAATCACGACCCAGGCACCATGGCGAGCAAGGAAGGAAGGTATCGAATGTTCAGTGAATCTGCCCATGACTTGTGACTTTATTGACTTTATCATTTACTAATTCGATTATTGTTCAGGTACGTATGGCAGATGTTGTGGCACAGCTTGTTCATTGTAAAGATGGTTTCTGGTTGTTTTTTAACCTGATGTCGGTGTCAATTTGAGTGAAACGACCTTGTGGTATATTACATTATATGTCGACCAAGGGCTTATTTATTGACAGAGACTTGAAAATCACGTCAGGCATTAAAAGTTAACGTTGACTTAAGGGGATCCGGGGGATGGGAATGGGTGGGGGGGTGGGGGGGGGGGGGGGGGGGGGGGGGGGGGTTGTGTTAGGTAGGGATTAACTCTAGTCCTCACATCGTGTATTTCATCCATCAGTCCACCTATATAAACGTTTACATACATCATCTACTTTTTCCAGTACAATAAAGGCGGCTTTAAAACCTTTTAAAACATGTCTCAATCTACAATTATTTAAATATTTTGAAGAACTCTTTCATCCTTTCCTTGATGTTTTCCGACCAGAGTTCGGATGCCATTCTCCCCTTCTAAGGCTTGTTGAGTATTGACGTAAGGCCTTTGATAACTATTAGCATTTTTCTGCCATTCTCATGGACCTTCTAAGGTTTTTGATTGTCTCCCTCATGATCTATTGGTGGCGAAGCGGTTGGTATATGGGCTGTCGACGGGAGCACGGCACTGCGTCGCAGCTAGCTCACCAATAGAAAATAGCAGGTCCAAGGGGCTTAAATTTGCAGTGACTGGTCAAATATGTTCTACGGGTATTTCAAGGGTCTACACTCAGGCCATTGCTTTTTAAGGTTTACATCACTGATATTGTTTACTATCTGGATTAGCCTTCTCTATATGCGGTTGATAACACTCTATCAAACTCACATTAATACCTCGCCATGCTCAACTCGACACATGGACATGACTGTGCAGCCACTATAAGATGGTTTGACAGCAAGCAGATGGAGGCCGACCAGGGTGAATCACCCAAAGTCAATACAACTGAATCTGAATCTGAAGACTGAATCTTATGGATAGTTCTGCAGAATGATTGTTTCGGATCTGGAACGGTCCCATGTGCAGTTGCTCATTATGTCGATGACTCCGCAGTGAACTCATCAATTCTACTATATATTATTTTATTTTTCTATCCATCTCCAGTTACCTTCCTCGTCATCTTTTCATTATTGTTTGTGTGTACATTATTCTTTCTTTATATTTCTGTTTTGTACAGTTTTCAAACTGTTTTGTCATAGCTAATGTTCGTTGTATTATGATATCCGAAGTCAAACAAAGCCTCTGGTATGTTGTATCTTGCAGTGGTGTAAGTAACTCTAGTCGACAACGACCATCGATCTTCGGTCTTGGGCCCTATCTTCAGTCACAACATCAGTCACAACTGCTGTCTACCTCCATGTTTCTGGCAGCTGCCAAGGTGTATTACATCCCTTTTTTTGTGCAGCACAATGCTAGTTGTTAGCGGTATCACATTAATTTCAATTTCAATCTCAACAAGAGTTGAACATCTAAAGCATGCTTCTAAATTCGATATCAAGTGACACGATGCAAAGATTAGCACATGAACGTTTCGCATTTCGTCGTGTATTCTTGATCAGTTATGTCTTGTTGGTATCGAAAATGAGTTAAAACACATTTCACGGAGTTAGAGTTAGTATTTAGTGTAACTATTATTTTATTCAACCTGCCTCGAATTGATAAACAAAACGGATATAATCGACAGTAAGAAAACTAAAGGTAAGATCTCCTGGCAACTGCATCCCTTAAATAATCTGAACCTCCCTGCTCGTGTATATATAAGTGTGATAACGTTTGTAGTGTACTTATAACAATCATAGGATAAAACAGACAATAATAGAATGGGAAACAAGTATGTTTATGCATCATCTGTTGTTGTGGCTGGTATTGTTATTGTTGATTACGATGGTGCCTGGACATCTATGTTTTATTAAATAGACTGCACATATGACCTTCTTCCTCCATCCGTGTATACTGGACCTACAGTACCATGGTCTGTGTCATACTAGTCTGTTCCTTGCACCATTATACAGATCTGTCCTGCCTCGTCCAGTGTCAGTTAAAAATGTGACACAGGTTGCAGCAGTGGTTGTCTCATTATGGCGTTTGACGTGATGTATAGCAATGGATATATTGCATGTGTTGTAATTGAATCTTACCTCAGTGATACAGCCACATCACGTGAATTAAGTACAAGCTGCTTAGTGGATATTTAAATGTTTTAGTGAATGTAAGCCGAGCTAAAGGACTTAACCTCGAGGGTCGGTTTGACACATAACGAAGGAGCTGTTCCTAAATTCTGAAATGACCTTATCTGTAGCAATGAAATCCACCACGCCAGTCCTGAATTTAGCGTTTTGTGTGACAACGATTGCGGACTATACACATTTTGCAGGCAACGTATTTATGGTTGAGTGATATTGCCTTGCGAAACCTGCACTTGACTCCGGCTTTCTTACACGCATGCATAGCGGAATACGACAATGGCGGTCGCCACAATCCTCGCTTCTGTTGGACACTTGTTGGATATTGCTATTTTAGAGTACCAATGATACGGAAGTAATACCATATTACATGCCCTCGTGGCCACTGAAGAGAGGAACTTAACACACTCAGCATGTTCAACGTAATCGTGTCGGC